GTTGCCACTGGCTCTGATGACTTGTGATTGGTTGTGATTGAGAGGGTGGGGTCAGAAATTACAGTTAGGCCCTGAGTGTTTCTGTGTCTGTGTGATCACCAGACAGAACAATCATTCAGACATGCAATAGGTGCAACAGCTACTTTCTGCTGAGTGCATCTAGGTCACTATATATCATTTTCCATAATGATAGATGTATGTTTTTATTAAATCACCTTGATCCTGTCCCTAATCTATGATCATGAGAGCATATCTCATGCAGCCAGGTTCCAAGTATGAGGGTGTCCACATACTTTTGACCATATATTGTATTTTCAAAGTAAGCAACACCTCAATAGTCCTGTTCTCATAGTTAAGCTGCTTTACACACTTTTGAATCTCTAAACAAAATCCAGATGACATTATGTATTGGAAACAATGTATGTAAGTACTTTTACTCAAGTACTGTACTTCAGTACAAATTTGAGCTTTTTTACTTCATTCCTTTCTTTTAATGCCACACTACACTTCTACTCAACTACATTTTTGAGGCAAATATTGTACTTTTTACTTGACTGGGATTATTTGACAGGTTGTACTTTTACTTAAAAATATCTGAATACTTCCTCCACTACTGATTGGAAACAAAACATCTTTTCTATGGTTTTACATTTCAGTTGGTACTTTGCTCAAGGACACTTTGGTAGGACACACACTAATGAAGGGCATGTTTCCATGACCTAAGAGCAAGAAACCTGTTCCCAAATGTTCCTATGACACACTTGACACACACATGCACACACTCATGTTCAGTGACTTGTTTGTGCCATGCAACCACCATGTAATTCACTGCTCTTCAGAAATGTAATTAGTAATTGGGGATACACTGCCACTGCACTAGTTACAACTTGTCCAAAACATTTAGTAAAGGAATCACTTTGTCTCTATTTGGCTCATGTGATTATGTTAACTTAATTTAGCATTGAACAAAGACTTCAGAGGAAATGAACACTGGTGGTCAAAGGCAGTTTTTGTCAAGTTGAGAGTTGTCTGCGTATTTGTTAGGGAAAGAAACAAACAGGATGTAGGCCTACGTATTTCTTGGAACATGTTGCTGTCCGAATTATCCTTCAGATTTCCCCAGATGTTGTTGTTGCAGAAGCAAGCAAAGATTTTAAAAACATTTGCACCCACATCATAATATTTTTCTTTACTATTATAGTTTATATCTTTCTATTTGTCCATTACTTTATATTTTGAACAATTTAGTTCTAAACTCTGAATGTGGAAACTGCTTTCTAAGGGTATTCCTTAAGTGTTGTTGTCTGTATTGTACAAGATTGTATTGTACAAGAGTTATGGTTTTATATGTTGATTTCAAAGTGAAAATTCTCAGTTTTTCTCTCGAGTGGCACTTGGAAATGGTAGCTTAAAAAACAATCCTTTACTTAATCTGGTCAAGAAAACTGATGTGCTAAAAGAGCTGTGAGCATGTCCATCTTAAATCTAGGCCAGACAACACCCAGAGGCAAGACTGGAGGTATGCAGGTTACAATGTGTGAATCTACGGGGGGAGTTCTAAACAGTATAGCACATATTCAGATTAGAAGTAAAAGTACTGTTAAATTCACTGTATTGTAAAAATACTCCAGTGAAAGTATTGAAAATGTTACTTAAACCTAATATATTGAGTTTTTAACTAGTGATGCCTCTATATGACCTATAAACAGACAAGACCATCAGCGAAAAGATTGGCAACTTCTATATTCTTAATGCTTGCAAGAAGCTTGGAATCACATGAAATCAATGAAACTAGGCGGCACAAAAACTATTGCTTTTGTCCAAAGGGGCCGCCAGATTCAACACAAAATAAAAGTTTGACTGTGACTGTTTTATGTTATATCATTAGATTTTTGTAAAGGCTGGATTTTACTGTTGTACTTGGTTGAGATGGAGCTAGTGACACCAAAGTGACACCTTCACACTGCATGTTTAATAAAAATCAAATCCTCACATTTGACTAACTGGAACCATGAAACAATGACTGATCAACTAATGAATTCAGCTCTGATTGTCTATACTGTTGCGTAGTTTTATCTATGACAAAGCATCAGGTTTTACAAGCTCTTCATATGTTTTGTATGGAAAATCTACTTAAAATAAGTAAAATAACTAGTAACTAAAGCGGTCAAACAATTGTAATGGAGTATATATTTCCTTCCGAAATGTAGTGGAGTAAAATAAAGTTCACTGCTAATGTAAGTAACTCAGAAGTCCATGTAGTAGTGTAGTAGATATGTGAAGCTTCTGACTGACCTGTTGACAGACTGGATCCTCAAGTTCAGAAATTATAATTGCATGATTTTATTTAATTAAACTTAATGATCCTCATATGAAACTCGTGTCATTGGAACCAAATAACAGGATACAGAAATACAGAAAATGTTAAAATAAGAGTAAAGTAAGAGGTAACAGTAAGAGTGAAGTTAATGTAGTTTCTTGTAAAATGTATATTGTATATAATGTATATAGGGACTTTGTTTTTAACATGATCAATTTCATTAGCCTTCTTTTACAAGGAGTTTGTGATTCATGTCCAGTGTTTCTAGAGAAGTAGATGTATATGAAACTAAATGTGAACATGTAGGCCCCTTTTATAGTCTGAATTCAGGTCTCTGTACACAGTTAAACAAGTAAACTGTAAATGGAAAAACACAAAAAAAGGCAGATATAAATATATACAAACAGAACATTTGAGTTATAATTTCACACACCAAACCAGACGGGCAGGTTTGACAACAGCAGAAACCAAAGTTACAAAACATTTGAAAGGTTTAATGACTCATTCTGGCTAACTCAGAACATCAATTAAAAGCATCATGTAAACAAGGATTACAACATCTTTGTCTGTCGTCGCGTCTGTTCCCTTCATAAAAGAAACACACAGGGTCACTGTAAGGTCACTGCAGAGAACACTAAGAACACCTCAGTGTGTTAGACGCCTGGATGTTCACTATAGTTAGATACAAAAGGATGCTTTTTGGTTAAATAAATATATTTAACCTTATTGAGTCTTATTAAGTAAGTGGAAGGAGGCAGATCCCCTCAATTTCATACTTAAAAGTTGCTTATGCATCATACAGTCTGAATCTATTCTATGTCTAGCCTATGGGTTTGGGTCTGACCTGTGGCCCTTTGCTGCTTGTCATCCCCTCTCTGTCTTCCCCTTTCCTGTCTCTCCTATCAAATAAAGGCAAAACTGTCCAATATATTTATTGGAGTCAACTTTAATTCTGCTTTTTTATTTTTATTAAAGGTCTATAGGCATGTCTGTCTGGTGTTGGTATTGACAGTCTGAAATTTCTACACGATAAGAGGGAAATTGAAAGCTGTGGCTTTAATGAGCTAGGATCTCTATCTCAAGAAGACCCCGTTTCAAGTCTCACTCCCGGCTGAGGCGTCTGTCCTTGAGGAAAAGCACCCAGATCTGATTCCTGGATCAGATGTAAGTGAGTGCTGAGTGTGTGTGTCTACCAGCTGAAAGCTGAGAGCAAAGTAAGTTCCCTCACTGTGTCTGAGCCAGAGGCCACTTTTTTTTAAATCCAGTGATAAAATCTGTTTTAATGTTTTATTAACAATGAAAAATGTGAACATGCCACTTCCCTTTCACCCTGACATTAATAATCCTCTCTTATTTCTTGTCCACCACACCACTGTAACTCCTCAAAATCTTAATCAAGTTCTGAAAGACTCCTGTCAGGTGTCAGTGCTCAATATGCTTGTATACACTGGTTAGTTGAACAGAATGAGCACTTTCTACATGCACAAATAATCAACACCTCTGTATTTGCTGCTCTGACTGACCTCTGAGCGTCCTGTGGTGAGAAGCAAGATGAAACTCTGCGATTAATTAGGTATAATTCTATTGTTTGTTTTGATAAAGATTAAGGCTGGACCAAATGTTTCATTTTATCTTTCTATTGGGCATTATTTTAATTAAAGTGTTTGGTCTATAAATTCCCTGTTTTGTCTTATTTACAGTTCTAAATCCAAAGGTTTTCTGTTTTAAAACAGAGAAATCAATCAATATTCACATTGACAAACATGAAAACACATTATCTTTGGTTATTTAGTTGTATTTAATAAGTACTTTGGTCCATCAAAATCAACAGGAAGATAAGAAATGGCTATGTTGTTATATACAGTATATATATGGGTTTGGGCTTTTTGCCTTTATTTTGACAGTGAAGCTCAAGATATACAGGAGGAGGGGATGACACACAGGGCTGCAGGTTGGATTCAAACCCATGGCCACTGTAGCAAGGACTCTGCTTTAGTACATGAGCAGCCAGTTCTACCAGGTGAGCTATGAGTTGTTCTTTTAAAGTATTTTACGAATATAAAAGCTTCTCAGTGAAACCTCATCCTTCCTCAGAACCGCGCTGAACGTCTCTCTGTCTGTCTACTTTAAAATATTTCAGTAAATATACCCAAGTGAATTTCCTCAGCCTGGCCTTTGGCCATGTTGATAGCTTTGTGTGACACTGTGTATAATTCACTGAGTTTGTTTCTATGTGTTAGGTGTTTATGTATAGCAGAAAAGAACTGGGATCCTTGTTGAATATTCATGTAATCACAGTACAAACTGTACAAGAGGACACCAGATGAGAGCCATATATCAGCTGAACTCACTGTGACAGATAATTCAGTGGTGAGGACCAGCAATAACTCCTCTGGAGCAGCAAAAGCACCCAGAAAAACTGGATTGCCTAAGTGCACAATATTAGAGCTGTCACAGCCAAAACTTAAGTCTGTAATTATTGTGTTGATCCCCTGAGTGTAGCTAGTTTCTCCACTGAACCCTGCCCTTGGCAATGATATAGTTTTGACTCACACTGCTGAACATGATGTACCATTCCACTGGCATGCAACATGCTAAACAAAGGCCCTCTACTATTTCCCTAACAAAGTGTACAGCTTGCATATCAGTCAAGGTTTGAAGGAAACACTGAAGACGGTAATAATTTAAAATTTTTGGTTTATTAAAAAAAACAATTACAAAACTTTGGCAATATTGTGAACAAACAATTGCATTTGTATAAAAATACATTCGTTATATTTTCAGTGCGTGCCACCAAAGTTGCACAGCTGACCCTGAAGACTTCTTTCATACTCCTAACAGTTTTTTTTTTTTTGGAAGTTGAGGAGAAACTAATCCTCGAGTCAGTTTATTTGGAATGTTCTTTGTCCATATATTTCAGTGGCATCTCCGGCTTGAGGCTCGACTTAAACGCTGAGCAGTGTGTTCGGGGTTCAAGCTTCACAAAGCGCCCCACAGCACCGGGGCATCTGGCTCCCATCAAAAGCTTCAGGCCACATGGCTCAGAGGTCTCCGTCACCTCCTCCTCCTTTTGTTTAGCAGCTGGGAGAGCTAATCTATGTGCAGCTTTATACACAAACTGCTCATCCTGTTTAATCACTGTGCTAAAATCAACAACCACAGCTATCCGACACTTCAGTGCCTTAAGCCTTGCATTAACACAACACTTCTCTTGGAATTCATCCACATACAATTCAATCGTTATTGTTGTAAAAGTCCTCTCAGAATACACTGTGCTCCATTCATCTTTGAGAGAACAACTCCCTGACACTCTCATGCAATCTTCAACGGCAGATAATTAAGGCATATGTATTTTTCCCTTTTACATATTGTGACCTGCATGCATAAAATACATCTACATTTGCTTACTTGACTTGTCTGTTCCGTTGCCACACCTTCAAATACAGTATGTGCTTAAGTAACAGTAGAAATCATCACAGACAAACAATGCATAGCAATGTAAGTTGTTAAAATCTACTGTGTTGCCAGTACAAGGGGAGTTGGAAACTGAGGACAGTAATTGCACTTCTCTCTTTACGCCACTCAAAGGTGACAATATGCTTCTAAACATACGTCAACTTCTCAAGAGCGCTTTTTTTTTTCCAAAACATTTGAACACCAGGTGCAACTCCAACTCTCCACCTGACAAATATCAAGTGATCTTTTCCCCCAAATGTGTCCCAAACTCCTTAAATCTCAAAATTCAGTTGAGGGAATCCTTAATTGGGAGGCATTTATAGCTGGCTTTACCAGGAGCCAAAGATCACTTGGGGAGGACAGGAACTGATGTGGAGAAGTTACTTTCCTCGCAACAGAACAGGAAAGCGTCCACTTTACTTTATGGAGTGGCCTCCACTGACATCCAGTTCCTTTGAGCTCCGTCTCCCGGCCTCTGCGTGGCGCTCCAGTCCCCCTCGACGACACTTGGTGGGACCAGGCACCATTTTTCAGAGAGAAGTAATCCAGGAGAAGACAAATCTCTTGATTTGTTTCATTAACTTTAAGTCGCTTGACGCTCAGGCAGGGCTCATGGTTCAACACGTCATGCAGCGAGGTCTCATGTTCAGGGGCTGAGGGTTGGGATCAATCTGTAGGCAGGAAATGGAAATAAAAGACACATAAGATGAAGGTTAAGTAAGCAGATAATTCTGTCTTATTCCAAGCAAAATATTCAGTGCTATGGTACATTGAGCCTACACCCACTGATTATTTTCATGTGGTTACTGTTCAGTACAACTCAGCTGTGTTCTCAAGAGCTTCTTTGGCAGGAAGTCCAGTGGGGATGTTTTAAAATTAATCTACTCAAAAAAATATTTCTATATGCCAATCAAACTAAATAAACAGTGGGAGTCGTTTACAGCATTCGGTGACTTACCTCGCTGTACACAGGCGGAGGTCGGAAGCGAAACTCTTGGACAAAAGCCATGAGGGGGCGCTCCAGGATCCCACTCAGGTCTTCGGCAGGTTGTGGGACCGCCGTGCTGTTGCGCTGCTCAGCCTCCTCCTCTGTCACCACGGAGCTGTATTCTGGAGGAGCTGCAGGGAAAGAGGCAGGATTAATCCACTGGTCTGACTCAACAGTACAGGTCCAAACACTAAGCTGCTGAGTCATCACTGCAGTTAAAACTCTTAAAACCCCCACATAACATTTACTGCCTTTTGCGCTAACAAACACTGATTTGATCCAACAAGAACCTCCGCTGAATCGAAGCTTTGTTTGTTTATACATGTTGGCATCTGACCTAGTTACACTTTGGCAGACAGTAATCATAAAAATGAAAAAGGGAACAGGTCCACAAACTGATGAGGTTAAAGCAAGAAGGACTAATTTATTATTGTAGCAGACAATATCTATTGACAAAAAGTGAGTCTCTTCTTTTCCCCTACATAAAAACTCTGACCTGAAAAACCTGGTGTATCAGTGTGACTCCTATTAATCAAGCTCACTGGCAAGATTGTGGCCAAGACTGGCTGATTGGCTCAGAATTATAAATGTTAAACTAAGCAAGAGGAAAGGGACATCTAGATCTACATATCTCAATCACTGCAGCATTAAAGGACACTTACGCTCAGGCTGCTCGGGGATGGCCATGCGCAGCCACTCCAGGTTGACGCTGTACTGGCTGCTGACGCTGGAGGTCCGGCTGCCGAAGGGATGGAGGGGGATGGTGCCGATAACCAGCGGCAGCTCCAGGCACAGCTTGGACGTCCCAGGAACATCAACACAAACCTGGTGGGAGCAAAAGAGAAGAACTTTTTGTGAAATCTGTGCAAAGTCCATATTTAAAAACAGCAACAGCATGGATGGAAAGAAATTCCTAAGAAATAAAGCAGATGTTGGCTGAGCTCACCTTGAGCATGTACTCCACTTTGATGATGCGGCACTGCAGGATGGAGGGACCCACAGGCGGGATCTTGATGGCGCGACCGTGCCACGTCTCCCTGCATCTGGCGCCCACAATATCACCGCACAGCGTGCCCACCACCGACCGCTTCTGCTTCATGGTGCCGCGGGCGATGAATGTCTGTGTCTGAGTGATATAGGCTTTGGGCACCACTGATCTGGAGGTAGAGTTGTCGAACTCCGCGAAGACAGGTATCACCTCACCTGCAGAGAGGGACAGTATGTTAACAGCTGCAGACACTTCTAAACTGGGCTACAAAGAGAAGTTGTTTTCAGAAGGAGTTGTTTTAGGTGCTGGACTCTCACCTGGTGTGTAGCCTTTGCGGTCAATCTTTGCTGTTACAGACACCTGTCCGAAGTTGCGGTACCACGCCCGTGCCATCTTGTCCTTCGTTCCGGCCTGTGGTGCCTGGGAATAATAAAACCGAATGAGCCAAATTCGCTTCACAACACCCAGAAAATCATGAAGTATGTAATTATTCAATCATGAAATGTTAAGGGTGCTCACCAGTAAGGCCGGTGTGTTGATGTCAATGGGCTCGATGACTGTAAACTCCTTCTTGATCTTCTTGACGGTGGCCCACGGCCTGTGGAGCTTCACTTTGACCCAGTAGCGGATGCTGCCGTGTTTGCCCTCGAAGGAGGTGACCAGAGTCTCCTCAGGTAGCTGGAAGCTGAATGGAAATTCATGTCTGCCAGCAGGAAGGTGGGTCACTTCACCATTATCTGAGGAGAGGAGAAATAACAACAAAAAGAAATTTAAGTTACAGTTCATTCACTTGTTGTTTCAGTTGTGTTTTGTTCATTTGATTTCAAGAGTACAGGAATGAGTGTAACTTCAATGACCACTTTCCTCCAGCTGTGATTATAATAAAGAAGAGCATAAAGTAATATAACAAGGATGTAAAACAATCAATTCAGCACAGAGACGTAATAAATTTTTTACTGTGATCAATTATCTGATTGAGTGTAAGGTGATTTGCGCAACACAAGAATGAATGGCAGCAATTTGCTTCTCCTGAAGAAAAGTCCTGATAAAACTATCTTAGACCTGCACAATTAGCTCGAAGTTGAAAAAAAAAAAGTTCTTTAGAAATCCACATAAACAACAGAGAAAGAGAACATATCTTTTAAGCACGAACTGAAAAGAGAAATCCCTGTCTTTCTCTGCAATCACATGGCTTCTGTGCTTGCTTAGAGGGGCGGTTCCTGCTCCATTGTGCTGACTGAGAACATGTTTTCCTCAAGCTGTATTATACAGGCCGTCTCAACTGCACTGTTTTTCTCTCCCTCTTGCTGCACAGGTCGAGGAACACGTGTTTGCGTTTAACAGACTCGATGTGTTTTGTGTTCCTTTGTTAGCTGCAAGCTCCAACTTGATTTAAATAACAATACTGTCACTGTCAAATCCTCTTAATGGGTCAAGTGGGTCGTTGTGAGCTTTCTGCTGTGTATGCAAAAAAACACCACCGAACTTCTTTAACATTATATGATATTTTTTTATCAAATACCGAGTCGAGCAGTGAGACTGAACACTGCAGGAAAACAACATAACATTTCTGAAGCCCTGGCTGTGAATTTCCTGTCTGCTCTTTAAAGCAAAACAGCTCGGTGTCCAATGAATGGACAGTGAAACTCGAGGCTCCCACATCGCTGTGGAGAAAAACAACCCACGAATCTCTTCGAATGAGGAAAAGTCTGATGTCAAGGCTATTTCTTTCAACAGATGTTTTCACAATGAAAAGGGAGTGCAAAGACAGCTGTTGCAGCATGTTTTTCTCTCTTCCTATACAGTTGTTTTTTTTATACACTTCTATATTGAGTTATGAACAACAACAAAACTTCTTGAATGGAAGAAAAAGTAACAAACATTCCCCTAAAAGTACTTTTGTCACTGAATGACTGGATATCTGAGTGCTTGTGTTGTGCATTGTCTGAATCTGGATGTTTAGTTTTACTTCTTCAAGGAAGTGCCCAACAACAAGTCAACAACTCTCCAAAGACTCCTCATAAAATCATTTAAAACTTAAGTTTGACTTTTGTTTCATTCAACAGAATATTAGATGATCCAGTCAACTTTGCATCCTACAATAATGAACAAGTTTCTACCATCAAAGGCGAGAGGCCAATAAAACCTCTTTAAAAGTGTAAAAGAAAACAACTCACCTAAATAAAACCAAAGCCTAACAATCTGACTTTACTACACATTTAATGCAACCAGAACATACATTTAACTCGCATACTTAAACCATGAAAACAACACCATCCCCAGTTTGCAGACAAAGAAGTAGCCCAGTGTCCCCCAGACAAATAAGCCACTTTCACTATTGTTTCGTACATTTGGCATTAGCTCCACTGAGCTGGTTTGGCTCTTTTGATCCCCTACTAGCTGACACTTTCACAATTTTCCAGCAGTGTGCACCCTCTCAGAGTCTCTCACCCACAACCACCATCACCCAGCCTGCAGAGCTGACTGACCTGCCTGCAGCAGCACCTCTCTGCGGTTCAGGTACTCCACTTCGTCGCTGTAGTTCTGGGTGTATGCGGTGCTAGAGCCGGCGGACCGAGACTCGGTCCAATGCACTTTAGCGAACCCCTCGGCGTGGAGCTTCAGGGAATACACCCGACTCTCATCGGACAGGTCCAGCACCACCCGACCTGACACCACGTCCCCGCTGCTGAACACAGGAGGACAGTCCACCTCCGGAGAGTCGAAGACGATGTCAAACTTTTTTAACTTGTCGAAAATCATCTTTGCGGGGGTTTTTTTTTTGTGCGAGTCCTCTCAAATGTGAGTCCTTTATTCTCGGTCCCGCAGTATCTGAAGTGAGCTGAAGTTGATCTTCAGATGTCTTTTGCTCACTTGTTGTTTAAAGCTCAAACTGCTGGGCTCTTTCAGACTGCAGCCCTATTTGGAGGCTGAGAAAGTGGGCGGGACTCTGAATTTATTATGTAAGTGCTGCGTTCAAGAGCTCCTCCTTGGCACCGACTTATCAGCACTACAGCTGTAAGTAAGACATGTGGCTGCATTTGACTACTTTATTTGGCCAAAGCTAATAACAGATCTTATCAGGAAAGGTTTCAGATAGAAACAAATAGAAGAGATTTGAGTTCATGTTTACAACAAACACTAGAGTTTGAGACCACTGCTGTTACAAAAATAAGTTTTTGGGTGGTTCAGTAGAAGATTCTCATCAAGTAAACAAAAGTTAAGTTTCACTTCTTTAACTAATCAAACTTCAGTTATCACTTTTGTTCTGTATATGTAGGTTGAGGTTGGTGTAGCAGGAGACAACAGCTAAAAAAACCAACCAGAACAAGTCTGGATAATGTCTGAGAACAAAACCACCACATGATGCCAACATTACCAAAAGTGAAAGCCACTAGTTTCATGACAACAACGTTTATGACGACCACCCACCTGAGAGTCACACCTTATCAACTAGGGCAATCATGTCATGTAAAATTCCCACTTCCAATTTACAAGTTAGGTTACTTGTGTGTAGCTCTTTCAAACACCTATATTTCCAGATCTACTCTGAAGGCAGCACAAAAAACATGCAGACTGGGCGTGGAGGCAGCAGTGAGGAAAACAGGCCTTGGTGATGATTGATGGTTACAGGTTCTTAGAAGAAAACAGGCTTACTGAGCATGCCTCCCTCTGGCAGAGATCCGCCCTGCACAGCTCAGAGGAAAATAGTTTCACTCTGGACCAAAGCTGTTTACTCCACTTCTTCCATGTCGCTTTGAACATACTGTACTGTTGCACCGCTTGGACGCTGCACGCATGGAAAACACACAGCTAGGCACAAATGCATGCAACTTATGCCACCAAATGCTCATATGAAAAACAACTGCAGTCATTCTTTCTTTGATAATAAAGGGATAGCACAAAGGGAAACTACAAGTCTCCAAATAAAGAAAACATTTGGACCAACTAAATCACTTGCATGAATCATTGCACCCATTCAGCCTTTTATAAACACACCAAATTCACTTCCAACATTTGCAAACAAAGCCAATTCTGAGCAGAATTGATTTTTCTTCCAAACTCTGCAGCAATAAATACACTAAACAAACGATCCTTCACTTTTAAGCTGTGTTACTCTTTTCATTCAATGCAAAAAATCAAGTCTGGTCTGAGAAAAACAAAGTTGTTTACTCCTTTGTTCCCTGGGATGACTTGTTAGCTCTCCAGTGCCACCGACTGGCAATGTGGAAGACTATCAGGATGCTTTTAAACAGCCTGAACTGGACTGGAGATGTCTGTGGATCTGTGAAAAAGTTCTAAGACTCTAGTTAAATGGTGCCCAAAGAGTAATTAAGTACACTGGGTCTCTGGAGAGGCTTTCCAATTGACTCTCCCCTCATTATTATGTTACTCCTTGCAGGTTAGGTAGAAAGTACAAGGTTCACCTGCATTTTTCCTTTGGTATAATCAGCTAACTTGTCAAACAAAAATGTAGTCCCAACTAGCAGCAAAACACTGTCATATCTGGGAAGTCAGTGGTCCAGTTTGCATCAATTAGTACGTTTTTGCTTAAATTGTATTCAGGAGGCTCAGGCCTGGGAGGAAATAAAGCCCAGGACGCCACCTGCTGGTGACCAGCAGCAGCAGCCTGGCTGCAGGTCACACTGCCTGGGCCCTGATAAGAGGAACATGAGGTTCTTGGCGCAGAATGATGGGCTTGATAAACACTCCCACTGTACAGATGACTCAATATGATCATCTTAATCATGGCTGCAGACACGTTTACCACTGCCGCAGACTAAAGTAAACATATTTATCTCTGTGAGTTTGTCTTTGTTTACCCAAAGAGCTGCTGAGTGTTCAGTATTGTAGAACAAATATTAACACTGAAGCCCTGTATACTTCAGAGCAAAGAGGGGCTTGAGAGAGTGTATTTCTTCAAGTGTTGTTTGCAAGAGAAAAAAAAAAAGCTTTCAACTCCTAAAACTGGAGCTTCCTCTCCACTGAGACTCTCAGATACATTTATGCCTTTAAAGGGAAGAAACAATCCCTCACAAAAAAATACTGTTCATGGAAGATAAATATGCCGAAGACGACTCCATATTGTAAAATGAATGGAGCGCAGCAGCAGCAGCAGCAGCACGGGCCGAGCCACGTGTTGTTTCTGGTTGCCGACGTGACGGCAGCTGATTTCTTAAACAGACCCCACCCTCTTCCTTCCTCCCTTCCTTCCTTACTTACTTTCTCCTCTGCCTGTCACTTTCTCCCTCATTTCTTGTACCAAGTAAATAGAACCGACTCCAACAACCTTGCCCTTTTCTACTTTTTAACGTCTATCTTTACTTTGTACATGCAAACGTACCAGCTTGAATAAAAGCTCATTGGGTTCCCGAGAGGATTTGAAGCCAGGTGTAAGGGTGAAGCTTTGCAAAGGCAATTAGCGCTGTTGTTTCCTGGACAGATTCTGCAGATTACATTGGTCTACAAAGAATGTCGGTCTGAGAGACATTTACAGGTCAAACCACCCATGTGCCGACAGCACCTTGGCCTCTTTACTGGTGCAAGTAAATGTCCAGAATCCAAAAATAAAAACTGCAGTTTCTTTTTTTTTTTTCAGTCGTATGGTTTTGGTGGATATTTCTGGGTGAGGGATGGAGAAGCACAGAGGATACTGGTGATTTCTGACCTCCATTCATGTAAAAATCTGTAACAACAAGCATATTTCTATGCAATATGGTTGGATTTTGGATTATTGAGATATTATTATTGGTGACATCAAGTCTAGTTAAGATAATTTAGTTTTATTTATACACCACATTCCACATCATTTTGTGATGATTTTATTAGGGATGGGCAGTAACGAATGTACTGTACATAATATCGTCCTTCCCCTGTGCTTTATTTAAAAATGGATGAGAGATGCAAGATAATGAGAAGCATTTGAACTCACCTAGACTGGCCTAGATTTCCCTGTTTTGATTTTGAGTCACTTCCGGTGTGAGGGATTTTTCTCACCAGTGACCACATCAATACCAGATTGTAATTTGGCAGAATAGGTTGCAGCAACAGTGATGCTTAAACAATGACTTGATCAAAATAAAAATACATCATACTCATGTTTTTATTTTGTTTTGCAGCTGGTCTGAGTAAGTTAGCAGTTTGAAAAATATAAATTTAGGCTCTGATTACATGTTTATATTTTACACTAAATAATTAATGCAAATGTTACATCAGCAGAGATTCAACGACTGTTTGTTTGGCTTCCAAAGTAACAACAACACAAATTCTGCTCTTATGTATCCGAGACTCTGCATTCATATTTACCTGATCGATGATTTAGCAAATATGCTGTTTACAGAGCATCTAATGAAACATTAACCACTGTCTACAGTTTATTTACCCAGCTACTATGGCCTATATTCTCTGCCTCTCTGGTTTTAAGCTGCCTGCTGTCTTCCACACGGGGGGAATTTAACACTTTAAGGCATTATGTCCTGTACAACACAGCACTCAGTAAACCAGTTGTGTTTATTTGGACCCAACACTAATGGATTTGTGTTTAATGTTAGGATTATGTTATCTGGCATATGTATCTGGACGAGCCGGTGTCGACTTCTCTCCCAGGTTTCCATGCAACACATTTGGCCCAGGTGGCTTCATTTTGCAAACTGCAGCGACTACAAGACGCAGTGGCTACCAGCTGGCTCATAACAGAGCAAATCAGCAGTTTTACACCACATTATTCAGACTATAGAGAGAGAACTTTTTCATCCACCAGCTGCAGTACATGCTGATATACAATTACTGCATATATCACAGCAAAAGCTAAAAACAATGGATGTTATCTCACAAGAATATTATATAGATACAGTAGGGAACAAAGGGAAATACACAAAACTACAACAAAGTCAGCACAAATGATATACATGTCCCCCCTTTTTAAAGAAGGGAAGGCAGTGTTTTGGCTTTTTTAAGTAGTCATAGTAAGTATTTTATTTCTAGTCACCTTTGGCCACACAGACAGTAAGTTTTAGCATTACAGTTGAACTGACTGGTCCTGTTTGGCTCTCTCCCTGAACAAGCAGTGTGTTTATTATGTTAAATTATAACTAACAAGGTTAATGGTGAAAAATGAATGACATGTTCTACATGCAAAACATTACATGGAACTTTTATTAGCCAGATTAATTTCATATTTCAACAACAAAATGGTACATTTAATGGGGGGAGAAAAGACTGTTAGAAGCACCAGCTGCAGCTGTAATTCACCTGGCTTTAACGTGTGGCTATTCAACAGCCAGTCTGACAAATGAAGATGGTAAATATTTAAAAACACACACTGAATATTAACCATCCATGGGATTAACACCATCTGCAGCTTTTACCACTGACCTCGGATCAGATGCTGTCTCTTCCTGAAGTACGTGATTTTGGAGGTGTAGTCGTTGTAGACAGCGTTCATGCCCCGGTTCTCCAGCCAGTGTGCTGTGGCCACCCCTCTTCCCTGCACCTTCATGGAGTGCACTCTCGTGTCCCTTCGGAGCTCCAGGACCACCTGGCCCGACACCACCTCCCCTCCTGTGAACGCTGCATCAGCCGGACCATCCAGCTCCAGCGTGAAAGACTTAATGGAGTTCAATGTCATCCCTTAGAGTGTGAAGACAGTGGAACAGTAAATAAAAACATTTTGGAAAGGCTGAGGGCTAAACACTAATAAATACCTACAGTTTACAGTAATGTTAGAAAATGTGTAGAACTGGTTTTCAGGTGCTGTAAAAAACACACTGCAAATAGCCAGAGCCAGCTGGAGGCATAAGTGATTGAAACACCAAATAAAGCTAATTAATTATACATCCTGTATTTACTTTTTAAAATATTATTATTTTTTGAACCTCTTTTAAATTCGTGTGTTACAATAAATGGCACATAATGTTTGTTATTTTCTTCCAGAGATCTTATTTTTAGGGTGGGGTTTTGGTGGTTCTGATTAGGGTTCCCAGACATGCCAGAGCCAGCCCTGCCAGTAGTCACATTGTCTGTTTTTTGTTTTTAAACACGTTTTACAAATGCTTAGTAACATATAGGCGAACAAAATCTTACATTTGTCTTTTTCTGGTTAAATAGAGTGAACTAGAGTAGAGTGAAGTAAAGAATTATAATGTATACTATACTTTTTTTTTGTTTAACTTAAATATGCATACAAACTCTTCACTTTAACCAACTCTCTTTTTAAGATTTTACACAAATTCTGCATTATCATGAATATCTGAAATACCAAATATTAATATATTACTATATAAGGTAAAAGAACAGCAACTTAAATTCTACTTTCAGTCAACAATATGTAAATAATATTGCAACAACAACTGACAAATGTTACAACTGTGCTCAGTGATTATTGTCTATGAGTCTTATATGTATATATATTCCATTTTTCCGTTATGCAGCCGGTGCGTGTTTACGTTTATAAACGTCTCTCAGCCAATCAGGACAGAGAACCAGGACTACGCTTTATAAATACAGCTTGTGTGGACGTTTTAAAAAAAAAAAAAGTCTCAAACTCACCTGCAGGACAGGAGCAACGTTGTGGTCTTTCTCAGAGGGCGAAGTGTTACCAACTGTGTGTTTACTCCGACTGGATGTTCAATGGAAGCTCAGCCTTTATAAACGGTGGTCAGGTCTCAACGCCCAGAGACACAGCAGCTCTCTGTACACCAATGATGAAGAGCACATGCGAGTCACGCCCGCCCACTTTAACACGAAAGGAGGAGGAGGAGGAGGAGGAGGAAGACAGCGTGGTAACTGTAACGTCAAGTAATGCAGAATAGCAATTTTCCGGTTGAGCCTTTCAAATTTAAACTGTGTGAACCGTATTTCATCATAACGTTTTTATAATGTTTTATGTGTGGATCTGTTTGAGAGCAACATCTCAAGAAGGTGCACTATTGAGGAAGGAAGTCCGATATAATTTCACATATAAAATACTTGAATTTGGCCTTTGACTTTTATTTTGAAGGTGTCAAAAACAACCGGTGCCTAAATCACTCTCCTTATTCTATTTTATAAATATACATAGAAAAATAACAAGTACATAACATATATGTATATGTGTGATATTATGTTAAAATAGTTGCCTATTTTACAAAGTAAGACAAAAATCATGTGAAAAAAACAAAAAACCCTGCTGCTACTACTTTTATTAAATTATACAGGTGAGTGGGAAGTCTGCAGATCTACACAGGGATGTAGTCACTCTTGGTGATGCTGAGACTCAACCCAAACAGATTAAACACATTTAACGTCTACATGCACGTCCATTTAAACACATATTTTGAAGGCAGTGTGTATTTCTCTCAAAAACAGCCAATGCCTAAATCCCTCTCCTTATTCTATTTTATAAATATACATACATAAATAACAAGTACATAACATACATGTATGACATTACATAAAAACAGTAGCCCATTTCACAAAGTAGAAAAAAGGAAAACTAAGTAAACTAAAATGCAAACATAACAAATGTAATGTAAAATACATTTTAGAAGAGAATTCTGAATCACTTCAGTAAAATGTGATTTTTCTGTTTGGGTTTTTTGAGAGAGAGAGAAGAGTCCATCACATGATACAATCATGTCACTTCATATAAAATGTTTATGTAATGTTGTATAATGTGAAAAAATGTAATAAAGTTAATAAAAAAGCAAAAGAGGCTATATCTTTATGACTGGTTCATACAGTTATGATCCTATATGAAAATATCTGGCTGACATGTATGTAGAATGTCTCTTGGTGCAATAGACCTATCAGGTATTAAACCATATTCTTGCAGATGTATCCCTTGGACCTGAACCTGAGCTTGTTGAGCCAGCTAACATTCCAGCTATACCTGGACTGCTGCCTTTTCCGCCAGGTTGGTGAACTCCAGATTCAGTTTATTTACATCAGCTCACTTGCCAACTTTTTTATCTGCCGAGCCTGTATCTCAGGGTCAAGGCTGTGTTATTGCTACAACATAGATTGTTTTTACAGAGTTTTATGGTCAATCATGCTTGAAGGAGGGGATGAGAATCTTTCTGCGAAACAGACACTAACCTTCTTCTTAGCATTTAGCGTTGACAGTGTAAACAGGGTGGAAGTAGGACAGTAAAGCCCAACGCTGCTGCCCTCCCTGTCCTAAATATGACAGGCGAGGCTAAGGTTCATGTTTAAGCCACCTAACTGCTAAAGCTGCATTTGCACACTGCTTCAACATTTCACACTCTAATGGCCCCTGTACTGATCTGGATAGACATTTATTAATCATCCTAGTAAGATTATGAGCATTCTTCTGCAGTTAATTGAAAAACACTGAGGGATGACGCAAATATAAAGGAGTTCTAAGTTGTTATGAGCTGGCAGACTGAGGGCCGTGGTTGTTGAAAAGAATTCTAGGAACTGTAGGAAACATTAAACTACTTTTAAGGCTGACTTAATCATTTGGGAACCTTAAGTCCAGTGATAGTTACTTATTTTCAAATTCCTTGAACTCATTCTTTTTACCAAGGAAAAGTTTCACTGTAATTTGGGGGGGTCTAGGGGGCTTCCAACCAGTCATGCAAAGAAGCTAAATGTAACCAGTTCTATGATTTCTTTTGAATTGCATTATTTTGAATTGAAATTTAGAACAGCTTCCATTTGAGCACAATGTGATCTTTGTAGTAAGTCGGACCTTCGGTGTTAAGCTTCATATTATTTGTCATGTGTGTTTTATTGTCTGTACAGCAATTGTACATGTACCAAGTGCAATTGTGAGTTCACTACTATTACTAACTGACAAGAACTCTACAACTATAAGATAAAGGGAAAACAATCCAGAGCCAAGAGTCAATATGTGAAATATACTGAATATTTCAAACATATCGGTAAAAAAAAATCAGCAAAACCATTCTTGACTTTTGATTTGACTGTATTGTTTATCAGGAGCTGGCCAAGAACACAAGAGAAAGAAAACAAGTTGTGTCTCTCAGTCACTGTATGGCAAAATGACTGGTGTAAAGGGAAGCGCCAGGACGCCATAAGGTCAAAGGTTGGGGGATGAACTCTTCACTGTGGGTGGTGCTTAAGAGCAGGTGGGCTTGTGGAAACTTGAAGTTGCTCTATTTGATTAACAAAAAGAGGCAATATTGTATTATTATATCATACTATGCTCAGTGAAACATTACAGGAGCATCAAATATCAAACTTTTTAACTACTACTATTACTACTACTACTACGACCACTGCTGCTACTACTGTTATTAAATTATACAGGTGAACATTTTTATTTAAATTTATCTCACCCTCTGCTGGGACTGATAAGGTGCCTGTCTGCAGATCTGCACAGGGACGTAGTCACTCTTGGTGGTGCTGTGGCTCAGATCATGTTCTGCCAAACAGATTAAACACATTTAACATCTACATGCACATCCCTTTAAACACATAAACAAGACCAAGCATCACCTGGTCCACTCAGTATGTTGCTTGACTGCTGGACGACTGGTCTGGCTCGCTCTCCATCCTGTTTGCTGTAGTGTTCTTGGACCGTGGTTGTGTAGTACTCTCTTGACAGATGGCCTGGGCTGAAGTGCACATGGCTTTTGGTTATCAGGTCATGCCCGGGCCCATACACTAGATGAGTTTGGTTCAGCTACAGAGAGGAGAACATAATCAGCATGATTAAATATGAAACAGTTGGATATTTTAACCTAAAAAACTCCATAAAAATCCCCAAAAGTCTATAGGAACATGTGTGCATAAGTCATAAAGTGTCAAATGTTGACTTATGATTCATGTATGCACATTATGTTCAAGTAATATTATACAAAGAAATGTAACTAAGTAGAAGGTCTGATGACTCACATCAGAGAACTCAACTCTGTTGGTGGTGACAGACAACCTCTCTTTGTTGCGCCTCATGTCAGTGTCTCCCTTAGGTAAGTAACTAAAATTGTGGTTCCTCTTTAGCAGAACAGCTGGATCTCCTTGGAAATAAAGCAAATAGACCAATCCAGGAAAGATGAAATAGATAGAATAATAGAGTAGCGTTTGATTGTTTCAGAATAAGATTAAGGATTTGGTTGTCAAATTGTAAAAATGTAAGCACTCATGTCCCAATATCTCTGTAAATAAATCTGAATGGTCACTTAGCAAGAATGAAAATTGAATAAAAAATTAACACAGAAAACACTCACTCAGCTTGTGGTGACAAAAAGTTTCTTTGGAAGTGGAGGACCATGAGTCCTGAGAGAAATGTCCAAGGTTGAGCTTTAAACGGTCTTTCACCACACACGGTCTGTATCAAAAACATAAATAATGCTTTGATTATATTTGTAAACTCAGAATCAGATAGTTTTCAAAGAGAGACAAATAATAATTCTAAAATATTATATTTTAGACCATTGTGAAATTTAGATTTTTGATGCCTCTGAGTCAATCAAATGTCCCTGTTGGCATCCAAGACACCTTGAACTTCCAGCATATTTGAAAAAGAGATCTGAAAGGTGACACCCGGCCCAGCACAAAAGCTGCAGACCTGCAGGCAGTGGGCTGGCTGAATGACGCAGCGTGGGTTGTCTTTCTTTCTACAATCTTCACAGGATCACCCATAGGCACTGAGGAGGTGTGCTGTAGAAAGACATCATGAAAACAGTCACAGTCACGCTCTTGTGTTGATAACACTTCACGAAAAGCTTCATTACAAGGCCAATAACCTTGTAAACGTGTGTGTCTAGTTAAAGTTGACAGTGCTGGTATCCTAGGTCATAGTGTTTCTACATCTTGGTTTAACCTGAGTCTATCTGTATCAACGACAATGGCTTTTCTGGAACTGCTGAGTGGTTAAGACAGTTTCACTTATTTTTTTTTTACAGATAAATTCACTGTCTTTGCCAGCAATAAAGCATGACTTGCTGTCAATGTTTGATTATTAAATTAAATTAATGCAGAAACATGTAAGAAGCATACTGAGACTTTCTGTATTTTCAGTATTTTTAAAAAATACTTCAATTGACAACACACAAAGGAATAACATTATTTAAAATCAAGTGCATTAGTTAGATTTACACACTTTTTATTAAATTGATATAAAAAAAACTTTCATATGTATGTTAATTGAAGTGTCTTTTTTGAGTTGGTCCAACAAATTTTTTTCAGTCTAGGTTGGATTTACTTAACTTTACTGCTGCACAGATGAAATGGATGATATTTTATATGTTGATCATATGTTTTGATTGTACAAAGACTATAGCTGTGGTGGAGTAAAGAGTACAACATTTTGGGAATCTAAATAAGAGAAAATTGAAACACAATTATCTGAAAAAAATGACTTAAATACAGCACTTTTCAAGTAAATGTACTTGTTTGTTGTTTATTCTTTACCTAAGAATGCGGTATTGTGGCTGCTGCTCATTTTAAATTTGGTTACTACCAGCATAAATCAGTGTGTGAATCTTACGGCAACAGTTTCCCTCAAGGGTCTGCAGGTTTTCATTCAAGCCATGGAGCATTTGGTTGAAATAAAATCCTTTGATCATAATAGCTCATGGCCAACAGCTGCTGCTGCTGTGTTACCTTATCCACAGACTCAGCAGGTCTGCTCCAGGCTCCCTGGAAGGTCTTGTCGTACTCGGACACAAAACTGTGCTGGCGTTTGTCTCCTTTGATTGTGGGAAAGCCCTCTTCTACAGAGAAATTATTATTATTTTTTTTACATTTTATCAAACATTGCAATACATTTTGCAGGGTCCAGAGATTAACCCTCACACAGATTCCTCCACCGTTGTTCATTACAAGGTTTACAAGATTAGGCTGAAAGGCAACAGTTTTTTTGAATGTTTACCCATTTCTTCAGAGTTACGTTAACTTTGAACTCAATTTGATGAACGTTCACATTAATCATATTAATCCATAATCCATAATCTAATATGGATTTACAGTTTTACTCAGAAAAGGAATGAAAAGAATCACAATCAAATTAAAAATGTTGCCACTGACCTAAATGTTTAACCTTGACTTTTACAACAGGAGAGCCACGCTGTAAGGTGAAGGAGGCTTTAGTGGTGCTTTCTTGGAGCTTTTCCAATTGCTGGATCTTCTTGCTGGCCAATGGTTGTCGGATGGGAGTGCGACGGGGTTGGAAGGGATGGTGCGGGAATTTCTGCGACTGGGTGGTGAGGAAATCATCCTCCCCAGGGTCTGTTTGCATCTTGAAGTTGGTTTGAAGTGCATTCCAGCGTGGGGTGCAGTGAATCTGTGGCAATGGGTGACGCTGGTAAGACACCATTGCCTCTGTCAGGTAATCCTTGAAGTACCTCAAGTCCTTGTGGTCCACCTCGACATGGGTGGGCTGGCTAAATGGTTCTACCTTTTTGTGAGTACAAGGCTGGAAGTCCTCCAGGAAACTAGTTGAGTATACATCTGGATTGTTGTCTGGATTGTTGTCCAGAAATGGGATGTTGGTAGACAGGCGGTTTTTGCCCACAGGACGGGCTTGGACCAGTCTTTTTACCAATGCAGTCATATTGGAAACCACCAGTGTCCTCCTTACATTACTGTGACTCTTTGATTAAGCTAACCATCTCCTTCTGAAGCAGGTGAAAAATGCTACAATGCCTCACCATGGAAACCTCTGTGCTGTGGAACATGATGATGTTGCTACTGTTGCTGCTCCTGCAGAGAAACAAATGCATGCCATGGTGTCCTATTACCTTGCCACATGCATTGAGTGGACACACAACTATTCAACTGTAACATTTTATTCTACTTGCCCAATCTTAACAAACATTGCCAGAAAAAAAATCAACATTTTCATGGTGTTCAGTCATTGAGGATAATTTTGTGTAATTTTTAAACTTCCTTCTTTGCCTTTGGCTTTGCCCTTGTTACAAAAAGGCAGCGTTTACTCACCTATAAGAACCTACAAAACACTTGGAGTGGACATGTTTCCCCTTTTCAAGAGTCTAATGCATATTTCAGCATTAACTTAGATAAACTTACAATACCATACCAACTTGCAGAGTAGCATGATTCTTTCTGTATTTAAGTGCATGGTGTTTGAAGTGGTGCCTGCCAAATAAAAAATAAATATATGTTTGCATATATAACACCAGATAAAGAGAAAGACTGTCTTTGGTTACATGCATGTTCTATATGGAAATGCATGCATAGAATATAAAGTAGCACAGTAGTATACATGTAATGGAATTAAATTCTCAAATTTAACTTAATGATAGCATACACTGTATTTGCTTGCTATACAAAAATTACAAATTATTAATACAAAAACACATTATACTGTTTTGTTCATGCGTGTTCACAGTGTGGATCAACAACATCATTACAACAGCAGGTGTCAGTCAAACTTAATTTTGGAGCAGTCGTCCAGCACATACACTGCACTTTATCTCTAATACACTGAACCGCCTTCTAGAAATAAATAGAAAATAATTTAGGGGTTCCCCAAACACTAAATGTGACTCAACAGCCTCTCAATAATCACATTTAGTAGTTTAATTAGGCACTAATGCGCTGTTTCAATGAGCTGTCAGCTTATTAAAGTGAATCACACCGCTCAATGTCGCCCGCCATGGTCTATTATTGTGGAATAAAAATCTGGCATATTAATAAGAAACAGAAACTATTATACTATTGTCCGCTCATTTCCCTGGATCATACATTAAATAAGTGGATTTTCTCATACATTTGTAGAAACCGGCAGAAGCCTTTTTATTTAATTTACAACAAGTCTCATTAGAACCTGGACACGAATCGGACTAAATGAGCGATGTAAGTAAACAAAAAGTTTGATCCACAGTTAATAGCCTTTTGAAATTTAAACTGAACACAGTTTAATTTAAACACGAGTAAAAAAAAAAAAAAACACTAAAATGATTTTATTGTTGAAGGGTGCAGGCAGACGGAAGTGACGTACTCGAGCGGCAGCCTCTTCCGCTCTCTTTTCGTCGAGGCTCAGCTAGCAGCCGGGTGGGTACGCGCTCTGTCCGCCACACATTGATCCGTTTTTAGTGATAGTTTAGTGGTTGAATGCGAATAAAACTGCACATTGTTCAACGTACATCGACAATCGTTACGAATGAGGTGTTACTGGCTCAGTTTGAAGGGAGTAAAACGGAGAAAGTTGTGCTTGAGCTCCGTGTTAGCGGTCCGCATGTGGCGAGGCCGCGCAGCGAGTCCTCTCCGATGCTAACTTCAGCTAACGTGGTTAGCTGCCAGCCCAACCTTTCGGGATTAATGTAATAGTTTAGAAACCGTATAGATACTGTAATGTCACCTGTAATAAATGTATATCCCGCACCGGTGTGTCGTATTGTTGTGGAAGTGACAGTTATCGTGTGGTCAACGAGTTAACTAACGCTGAACTAGGAGCTAACGTCAGTTTTCTGTCTCTCTCT